TCGTCGAATATTATCAGAGATGGAGTTTTTTGATCCTTTCAGACGACACGACCTAGCCAGCGGATATTTGGAGAATGTAGCCATTCTACAAATTTAACGCAAGTGAAGAAGGAAGGAAGAATCTCTGGTGAAAGAGTCCGTCCGAGAGTACCAGAAGCATTATCGGAGTGGACTCCCATACAAGAGCTGCTACAGAAAGTGGAAAGGGCCAGTAGAAAAGAGCACTGGCAACAAATGCTAAAGCTTTAATGGACGAGATTTTTTCTGTTAAAGTTCGATAAATGGTTCGTGAATCTAATCGCTCTTCCGAGAGAGAGATTAAGTCAACTTGTGGCTTTTTATACAGGTTATGTACTCCAGGCTGCGGTGTCATCAAAACAGATTAAGGTACTGATCCACAGATCTGCGCCACTTCTATGACCAAAGAGAAGAAGCACCACAAGAGATACATTACAAGGCAATCAAAAGAAGAAAGAATCAGGCTATCGTGCTAATATATCCAGTAAGAAAGCAAATTCCAACAATTAACCCAGAGGCTTCATAAAGCATTTTTGATTTGACTAGGTTGAACGAAGTGTTATGAAAGCAGGAGAGGGTACAATAGACCACAGGTCGCAGTGCAGTCCTCAACCTTCAATCTTAACGTCTAATTGATACTTTCCAATTTTTAAGATGTCATTAACGGCGAGAAATGTTCACATTTACATGGCACGTCCACGGCAATCATTATACTTCATAAAATATGCAACGCAAGGCAATGCTCTAAAATATGCCAACACAGAGTAATGGTATACAACCCGTTATATAAGCAGGTTCAAAATTATTTCCATCGAGGAAATATTTACATTGTTAGCACGAATAAACGAGCTCTTGAAAGCTCTACTTGTCGGCATATCTGTCAGCAACATATCACAAAGACAGAATTTTCGAATACTTCAGATCGCTTGAGGAATTTGTCTCATTCACGGCTAACTGTAGATATACAACTATCTGACTATGCGTTTATCTGTCTGCAGGTACAAAATAAATTACTGAAAAATTTGTATACATATGTATGTACATACACATATATATATTTAATGCACTGTCTGGCAGATATTCATTCTCTTTGGTTTTTTATGGTTTTTTGTTGCTTTGCTTTGCACTTATTTTTTGTTGTTGGCAACTTCACACCTCAATCGTGTCGATTGCGTCAAGGTAATGGATCTTTCAACGCATAAACTTCCAGCACACTTACATATGTGTATGTCTGTACGTATATGCCGATAATTAACGCTGCCTGGGGTTTAGCCGCCTTCCGCACTGCTACTTCTTGTGTGCATAGATAGTAGAGGTAATAAAGTTTTCAACATGAAATTTAATAAGCCAAAGCAGAAGCGGAAAACGCTCCACGATTTAGCAGCGTTGATGCACTCGCTCGTGGGTGTTATGACTTTGTTAATGGAAGTTTTCGTGGTTTTTATGGTGTTCCCAAGCAGCGTGCTACACGGACTCTCTTAATTAAGTTGCACTTTGATGTTGAGACTTTATACTTCTCTACTTTTATGGCAGCACAATGTTTCTCGGTTTAAGCAGAGAGTCTTTGACATCACGCAGCATTGTGGACCACAAGAATTTAGAGAAATTAGTAACTTACTTATAGGCATTTGATTTGTTAAACTATGAACCAAACATCTGGTAAAATTTGATCTAGGATGGTCTGGATGTAAAGCTTGAGTTACTTTCGAATATCAAGCGTTCCAGTGATTCAGCGAATTGTTTTTGATTTCAACTTTTTAGCTTTTTAAGTATCTGGAAGATGTAGTGTTGATACTTTCTGAGACCTAACATACCAGACAAAGCATAAAAGTAAGCTAGGTTTCTTTTTTTTTTTTGAAGGATGGAGTCATGTGTAGAAGTTCAAGCAAGTGAGGAAAGTTCTCTGAGCGCCATTCACTTGGAAATGGCCGAACAAGATTCATTTACATATGGATCAAGTAGCTTATGACTTCCGGTTTTAGACCTCCGGGTAGCCAAAAACCGTCCGCTTCAAGGCGAATCCTTCTTCTAAGCAGGTTGTACTTTGGGTTTGGGACCCGTTACGAGAAAACCTCTCAATTAAATGAAGAAAATGGTCCCCACACTTGGAGTTTCGAATCGACGATAAACAGGGATAAGGAAGAACGACTGGCGCGCTGTTGGAAACTTGTTCATAATATATATAGTAAGCGGTGTCTATGTCAATAAAGAAGAAGAAGTTTGGTTTTTGGTAATAATTTATAATATGTGGTTATAAGCTCAAGGCGACTCGTCCGAAAAGTTAACCTTTAATTGACAGATATTTGATTGATCCATAATAGCTGGACAGTTCCTTCTAGATCTTGAGCAATAGAAAGCTTTTGGTATAAATGGTTCAGCATAACGGAAATTTTTTCTTAGATTTTACCTTGCTGCGTAATACAGGATTACATCCCGGAGGCCTGGAGATGAGTCAGAGTCACGTTCATAGCGAAGGCTAGCAGAGGCTCTTACGTTACAGCCAAGGACTTAAGGCCAATTAGCCTCTCCTTCTTCGTACTAAAAACTCTGGAGAGACTGAGTCACTGGTATATAAGGTGCACATTCCGAGGAATTATTTATCAGAAGCACTGCTGGAACCTTCCGTGATATAGAAGGACCTTTCAATAACGTCGTGCCGGAAGCAGTCGTAACTGCGCTGCACGGTCTTGGCAATGAATCAAACCTCAAACACCTTAAACAAAAAACCGAGATGGTTTTATTCACTTGAAAATATCTACCGCAAATGGGAGACATTAATTTGCAACCAGCAGATACTGTGAAATATTTAAGACCGTCATAGAGGAGCTTTCATTGGAACGTACATCGAAGAGAGACCAAAAAGAAAAGCATCGATTGCTTTGCACTGCTGTAGAGTAGGCATTGGCAAACGGTGAAGTCTCTTACCAAAATTGTACATTTGCTCTACGACCCCATAGTCAAGCTTTATTATGGCTCTAGAAAAAACCACACTTGCAAATACGCTCGAGAGCGTTAAACGGGCGACCCTAATCCTCATATTTGGTGCACATAGGTCCACTGTAACCATGGCACTTAACACCATCTTGCTTATATAGCCCGTGGACATTGCCGGAGGATGTATGGCTACGAAAGTTTCTATCAGACATAGATCCTAAAAGAACACGAGTCCGAATACTCGGAAATCCTCACTCACTTTGACTTCATACCGAATCACTTGGATCATGGAGTCGCCAAACCGAAAACTGGCGGCTCCTTCTTTACGCATATACCGTCGAGGGAGTAGTGTGTGGGAGGCAGCCGTTGGAGGAGAGGGGAAGTGAACTTCTTCACGAATGGATCAAAGCTTGAGGGGAAGGTTGGTGGAGGGGTTTACTGTCAGGAGCTATCTATCAACTCCAGTTCCAGATTACCTGGCTATTGCCTTCCAGGCTCATATGGAATAGATTTGAATGCCAAATTTGTGTTGGCTACTAAGCGTTTTGCGAATTTATAGTTCGAACATTGGAGTTTTTCCATTTTATGGCCGCATAAAGGACTGTATATAGTATTTCACGTTCGATGTAAGATCAGCCATCTAACCGTGGCTTTAAACAATAATCAGTGCCAAATTTCGTATAGAAACCTTGTGGAAAAAAAATTACTGATAAAGTCTTGAGAGTTATTGATATGGTTTTATGGTAGCTATATCTTATAGTGGTGCGATATCGGCGGTTAAGACAAATGAGCAGATTTTTAAGGTAAAAAGGAAAGCCAAATTTTAGATCGCTATCTCAAAAACTTATCTTACTTTCATAAATTCTCAGACATAGCTACTATTGTATTATTGTCTAATATCAAGTAGTAATACCGCTAAAACTTAACTTTGTAAATCTTTCAATTCCTTCATCTTTTGTTTTCTTTTATCAAAAAATGTATAAAAATCGTATTTCTGCTAGTTTGAAAAATCTTTATGATTCTTACATTTACTTCGGTGCTTACATATTCTGTATACATATATTATATACATATCGTTACTTAAATTACAACTCTATTTACTTCATTTGCTTTGCTGCCAACTGTGACCACACCTTAACTCCTCGTTCACACTGTTTTATGCTTGGCACACACGCCTTGTTTACTTGCCCATGAAATGGTAAGCGCTTGTTTGTATATAAGTTTACTTCTGTGCGTTTGTACACTTGTACCGCTGCGCGATAACAGGCGTTTGTGTTTATGTAATTAACGTCAACAGCCGCCGCTTTGCTTGGTAAATGAGTAGTTTCGAAAAGCCAATATTCGGCAGACCTTCTTGTGCGATCAAGTCAATGCTGCATGTTTTTATGTACATATTTTAAATTGAAAACAGATAAATCATACATAAATGTGTGCATATAGTATGAATGTGTTCAGTATAGACAATTTGAATATTTATACTTCTCCATATTTATATTTATATTACTCAATAAAGGCTATCTTCAAAAAAAGTCTTAAAATGGGAAATTTGTTGCAATTTTGTTATAGTCATTTATCTTTGATTCACATCTTTCATTTACAATTATATTTAATGTATGTATGTATATATATATACATATGTATTAGGATGATTCAAAAAAAAAATTTTTTTTTTGTCGTTTGAAAACTACGTTCCTAGACACCTCTCACAAAGCCTCTCCAAAAACATATGAGTTTTATTCATAGTGATTTTTTTCATTTAATTCAATTCATAAGAAATAAAAGATTTTCCCAAAAATAATCAAAGTTAACTGTTAATATCTCTTAAACGGTTGGGTTTACGAAAAAATCGAACAAACCTTTTTTGTAAAGCATTCAATTTCCTACAAAATCTAAGGAACAATATATACAAAACTGTAAGTAGGAGGACCTTCCTGTTACAATTAAGAACTCATTCTTGGAGAGGCTTCCTTAGAGGTGTCTAGGAACCCCTTTTTATTTTTGAATCACCCTAATAATATATGTATACTATATTAAAATTTATAACTTACCATTTTCATTGCAATTCTGGAAAGGTGGAAACTGTGAAGAAAAAGAAAAGACATGGATATGAGTTTATTAAAAAATGTGTTATTTTGTAAAAATATAACTAAAACTAAGAATGTCAGAGGTTACAGGAATGTCAAGGGTTAAGTTCATAAATATATATTTTCTAATGAAAACTTTTAATGAAGGAATTTCATATCATTCATGATCCGATATCTCGATAGCGACAAATAAGAAAAATTCCGGCGGAGACAAGGACGTTAGCAAAATTTTATATCGATATCTTAAAAAGTGAAAGACTAGTTCGCCTATTCGCCGGTCATGGTTAAATCGAGACAGCAAACGACGCCATCTATTTTTTTACGCTCTTTTGCCATTTCATCATGGAAAGATATTCGATCCAACTTAAAACTTTCTACCGATATTCGGAGTCAGTGGTATCAACTTTAAGAGCACTACGTCCAATTTATGGTCGTCATAATCGTGCTCTGAGATCAATAATTGAGCATCCAGAGAAAAAATTATGAAACCACATGCATGGTACAAAATGTTTCCGTGCCAGCAAGACAAAGAATTGAACGTAGTGTCGAGAATTCTGCTGGAAGACCCAAATCAGTCTCTCACACGTTGTCCTTAAGCCTTGGGCATCTCTGTAACGTCGAATTTTGCAGAGAAATCTTGGCCTACATTCTTACAAGATCAAATCGACGCAAGAACTGAAGCCGCTTGATCACCATAATCGTCGTATGTTCTTGAATTAGGCTGAGCAAGAACTTGAGAATTATTATTACAATCATTTAGTTTCTATGGCAGCTATATGCTATAGTTAACCGATCTGAACAATTTCTTCGGAGAATACAGTGTTGCTTTAAGAAATAATCTATGCCAAATTTCATGAAGATACATTGTCAAATGTGAAAGTTTTCCTTACAAGAACTTGATTCCGATCGTTCAGTTTGTATGGCAGCTATATGTTATAGTGGTCCGATATCGACAGTTCCGACAAATGAGCAGTTTCTTGAAGAGAAAATGACGTGGCTAAATCGACTCAGCTCAACATACTGATCACTGATATACTTTATAGGGTATCCGACGCTTCCTTGTGGGTGTTACAAACTCCGTGACAAACTTAATATACACTGTTCAGGGTATAAAAATTAAGGTTTGGGATAAATGGGAATTTCTGGAATGAATGAATATTTTTGCTCCGAATTGGATGATATGGACATGGGAAATATGTGGTTCCAACAGGACGACGCCACAAGCCACATAGCGAATGTCACAACAGATTTATTTAAAATCAATTTTGGTGAACGTGTTATCTTACTGGCCCAGTAGACTTTTTTTTTGTGGGTGTGTGCAACGTTAATTCTATGGTCCATGTCAACAACCCAGGGCCGATTGATTAATTTATAATTTTTCACATAAATTTTAAGGTTGTGTAAAAAAACGAAATACTATATTGCTTTATTGCTTACAACTTTTCAATTTAACTATTTTCCGTAAAACTCATAGGTTTGCCATAAATTAACGCAAACAAAAATATATAATCTTTTACGAACCTAACCCAACTTTAATCTACAGCCTTGGTTACACGGCCGTCAGTTAACTGATCGATTTGGCTACGCATGGCATTCTTTCATGCTTCGCGAATTCCCCACAGTCACTATGCGCCACCTAGGCAACCACTCCTTTCATTCCATTAACATTATCACCCAGCAACTCATCAACGCCCTTACGCATTTTGTAATCCCGCGGCTAAAACGCATCGACTGCAACTTTAATCGCTTTAAATCCGCACAAACGCTATGTGGCGGCGTTGCATTTTAATTTGTGCGCATGCGCAGCCACGCTGTAATACGCTTCATTAAATGCGTGCCACATGATGCATGTGGCATGCTACATACGAGCATTGCCATGCTGCTCAACTGTCACTGCTGTCTGTTGTTTGCTGTCAGCTTAGTTCACAATCAATTTAAATGCAATGCCGACGACTGCTGACACTGCCAGCGCTGCAATAGTCGTACAACAACTATGAAAGCAACAACAACAGCATTTATAGTTACATACAATAATAACTGCATTAGCGACGGCGCAGTTAATATAACAATTATTTTTACTTGTTGCACTTTAGCGGAAAATTGCACAAAAACTCTATGGATTTATGGACTTCGGAGTTCATTATTTCTGCTTGACTTTCTGCTTACGGTTTCTTTGTTTTGTGGCTATCCATGTGATGTACAAACTCGACGAAGTCAATGCAATTATAACGACAATATTGCAACACGCAACATGCAACTTGGTGGCTAACAAACAGGCGAACAGCCAGCAACAACATTGACATTGTCATTCAACTTGGGCGCTCCAGCTGTGACACAATATGATTGGCGCGCATACATACTGACAATCATGTAAACATAACCACGTGGATTGTTGACTTTCGTGAAAGCAATTTGACTAGTTAAGAACTGGTCTACAACTAGTTCACAACCAATATGAACCTAGTCTGCCTTCCGTTTTTTCACACAAACAGTGGGTATTTTTATGTGATGCAGCCCTGTGGATGATGCCAGTTTTCGGTCGGAAACATTCAGATCCATACCAGTTCAGTAAATAGCAAAAAGAAATGTTAACTTCGTCTGCACCGAAGCTATAATACCGTTGACTAATACTTTTATCTCGAGTGTGACAGATCATGGCAAATTTCGTAGAGATTGATCGTCATATGACAAAGCTTTCCATGCAACCACTTTATTCCGATCATTAAGTTTATATAGAGCTATGTGCTATGGTAGTCTGGCATGCGATTCCAACAACAGCTTCTTAGGAAAAAAGATGTGTGCCAAATTTATTGTCGATATCTCAAAAACTGAGGGACTATTTCGCTTATAGTTTAAAAAATTGTAAGCTGTTTGAAGTCTCGACTTGCTTTGGGAGTGATCCTTCACCTTAGAAAGTAAGAGATTCTCTAGACAGAGAGCTTTTCGCACGATTACATTAAAAGCAAACAACTGGTAATCTTCAAAAGCCTTCCGAAGAAACCTCTGGATTACTTACGAGCGACTTTTGAGGAAGGAGGTTCATTACTTTACAGTTATGAAACGCGTACTGATCTCGTTCAAATATAAAAAAATTTAAATTAATCAATAAAAGACTGTGCCCAGAAAGTCTTCTGTAAAAATACTTAATACAAGCAAACTACGCCACGTACAACATAAATACAGTTAAACTTCGCATTCGCTTTACACTAGCGTCTTTACGAAGATTGGTCAACCGCTCTAAAGTCAGACAATTCTTAAGAATGCACTTTTGTAGGTACATACAAAAACAATAACGTCATTGTATGAATTCAAACTATAAATTCGTAGAAAAATCGTTCAAGCAGATTATGACGCAAATCGATTTTGACAGTTTTGATTTTGACGTTTTTCTTCTTCTTGCTATAACTACTTACACATTTAGATAAGCTGTCATTCAGCATTACAAGTAATCATTAATTTCGTGTTTTCTTTTGCTGTTTAGTTTTCGGCTATTTATAGTAGAAACCAGAAGTTTTAATTAATAATTATGCTTGAGTCAGATGCGAACCTATTTTGGAGAGTTAATTAAAATAATATTATTTAAATTGTTTGTTGGGCTTAAATTAAAATATTCCGAACTGTGTTTAAAAAGTTCAAGGTTGTATTTTGTAATAGTAAGGTTTATTTTCTTAAGAATTTGTAGCGACAAAGTCTGGTAAATACATATAATAAACGAAAATTTTGAAATTTAGGAGAAAATTGAGATTTATTCCTTAATATGGGTTTCCCTTACCTCAACAGGATTGATTTAGCAAGGTTGCAAAGTATTTAATTCGCCTGAAAACTTATTTTTTAGTGATCTGTAATATAGCAGCTCTGGTGAGGGACTTTTCAAGTTTGAGAACAAATCTGAAGAACCCGATGACTTACTCAACAAATTTAGGCGCTTTGTCCCCAAAAGGAGGTGATTTTTCTACAATTAAAATATATATCACCCTAATATTTCGGTAAAGTGTTCCATACTCTTGGTAGTCGAAAAACTTAAAACCTTGGCCGGTCATACTCTTTTCGAACAGTATAAAAAAGTTCAACCTTTTAGGAGCAAGTTTGCCGATGAAATCTACTCTTTTGTTTGCTCATTGGCCTCTAGAACTTCTTCAGAACGGTTCGTTTGTATCTCATATTCACTCGCAAAAATAGCAATAACAGTAAAAAACTCGGCCTATGCTTTTTCCAAAATTTCTTTCTATTGAGAACGAATCCTATACTTTACTACAGCAGCTAACGAAAAGAGGAAAGACCTGTAGAAACCTCTACTGGTAAAAAGTGCTTAGGCTTTTATAGGCGAGAATGTTTCAAGAAGAGCTCGATACAAAACGGCTCAGGAAACTAATCATTCTTCCCAGAAACAAATTAAGGCATCTTGTGTACATAGTAGGGTGCTGCTTCACGGATCTCAAAGAGCAGAGACCGCAAAGAAGAAGTGAGACCGGTAAGGGAAATTTAAAAGTGCAATCATTTATCGCGGGCTCCAAAATATAAAATCGATAAATAGATCCCAGGTCATAGTGAATTCCTCAGATTTCAATCAATCTTTCTATTGAGAGCAAGTACGAGTATAATGCTCTGAACTCGATCTAATTTTATACAATTTTCCAACCCCCTAAAAATGTATAGAATATGTTTATTCATTTCCATTATTTAATATCATGTTTAAAGCCGTTTGAAGTAATATATAATGTACTCGCTGCATAAGTACCTAGTACAGATAAGGAGTGATCCAAGTAGAAGTACTTTACTGTTGAGTTGTTTAGTCGAAGAGACCGAAACCGTCTTCCTCTGACTTCGGCACTTCCATTTTGATCATGTTATATGAAAAACATAACCGGCCTACGGAGTATACTATTCGCTACATCATCACCTATCTTGAAATCCAGCATTGATTATTCGATAATATTCAACCGAAATTATAGCAGCCGTAGCTGAGAGTTTACACGAAGCCCATGGATAGTGTAT